AAACGGGAGGTTGAGGACTGAGAATTTTATTTCATCGTGGGCCCCACTCCTATGGACAGATGAGCCGGATACATTGTGCCTTGTGAAATAGCTATTGCCACCTGCTGTGGGACCCAGTCCTATGGACTGGTTCACCCATATACATTGTTGTTGCTCTCAGCCACCGTCGGTTCCGATTCTAGGTTTCCGTGCAGGCATAGTGGAGGCGCAGAGCATGGGAGAGAGTATGCGTCCGAAGCCAGCGTCGCGCAGCCGCGTAGGCACAGTAGATTCGTGCTCCGTTGATTCTTGTCACCACAGCGCCTCTTATAATCATAGATCACCAAGCTCCTCAACACCACTAAACCATCTAGGTTATACCGATCCACAATAGTAAATAAGCACAAACTCTTCATCGATCTAAACAAGCCTAATAACGAAGGTGGATGCATATTTGCAACTCCCTGTAGACTAATGGAGTCCCTAATCTTGCAATTAGCAGACCAAATCACTCCACCATGCTTGAACTCCCCTTGCTTCCATAAAGTATTCTGAATGGCAAGAGAGCCTCCATGGCTGAGATAGAGGGGTCTAAATACCCACCACTCCAAGAACTAGTTGTTTGAACTCCACTCACTGGAATAGGAATCACCGGATGATCCAGTCACCCTTTGAACATGGCACCGGATTTGGACTAATCTGGTGTCCTTTCTAACGGCTAGTTTTCCACTAGCCTTTATTGTGTACGACAAGATAACACATAGTCCGATACCAGGCAGTGGACTAATTCGGTGGCCAAAATACCTCTTTGAACAACACTAGACGCTTCGATGACTAAGCATCGTATCAATCTGGTGGTCCCTTATCCTCTATGCATAGCAAACCCTAGCAGGGTCTCTGTAGCGTATAGTCTGATGGTCTTTCTACCAGGGCACCAGACTAATCCGGTGCTACCAATAAGCCCTTGTTCAGTTCCATTTCAACCATCTTTGTGAATAGGGTTACTTCCACTTGATCTTTGGGCTTCCTCTAAGCTATAAGTTTAACAAGTATACACCATACCTACTCACTAGACTCACCTAGGTCAAACTACTAGCTCAAACCACCCTTTATAGTATGACCAAAGTTAAAACAACGTCCTAAACTACTCTAAGTGTTCTTCAACACCCGTTGACACTTAGAACTAGTTTGTACTTAACCATGTCAATATCATGTGGAAACCGAAACGAATTCCATCATATAGGGGCATGAAAACCATTGATTGCCCATTAATCAATCATCATTGTGACCTTTCTTATAATGTCTCGGCAAAACACACGTTAGTCATAATGACCGCATCGTCACCAAACCAAGTTAGGGGCTAGATGTTTTCACTATCTTATACATTTGCCTTCAATTCTTTGCATAGTTATTTGCTTCGAACTCCTTGCAACTCCATGTTGAGCACTTGCATCATTTGGTCCTCTTGATCTACGCCATCTCCATGTCTTGCTCAACCTTGTCTTGTGGACTAACCTATCTCAATAATCTCATCTTATTAGCTGCAGTTTTAGTTTTATTTTCTATTTTTTATCTGTTGTGTCCTGTGAGATATCCTCATCTTATTTTTATCTCCTCTTTGTAGTGTCCTGCGAGATTTCACCTGTGTTTGAATTTTACTTTTCAATTTTGTATCTCCTATAATACATTGATAATATACTTCCATCATTTATTTTTCTATTTGACCCTCTTTTTTTTATCCTATATGTCATTGTGTACCGTGAGACATAGCACCCAATAGAATGCCGATGAAGATAAAAAATGGTATCACTTCCGCATCATTTCGCGTTATCACTTATATCAACCAATGTGTAGTTCCATGTCTTTTTTTTTTAACCTCGTCATGTGAAGTTTAGATTCATAAAACATATAAATGGTCCATTCTAAGGTTGTTAGGTGTCCAAACCACCGGCACCTCTAGAAATTAACTATAAAATTCGAGATAAATGATAGGATCAATATTCCTTCGACTTGGTAAGGTCATAGTACAGTAAGAATTTAGGATACTAACAACTTTACGTGGTACTAACCCAGTGGGACGTGCGTGCTGAATTGTGCTGTGACCATATGCCACATAAAGTAGTTTTTGTAAGACTTTTTGGCATAATTTGAACTATTAAAATAGTATATGGACTATTTGTATTATAATTTGAGCAAACTTCAAACTTAATTCTTGAACTTAGAACTTATATTATATTATTTAGTACCAAGATACTGAATTACGGAGCATATTTTTTTAATCATTTGCCAAATTGTTAAATGGGGTTTATTGAATTACATGTAACTTTTTTATGAGATATATTCTTAGATAAAATATTAGGTCCACCACTGGCGGGAAGGGAGATCACCACATAGATGTGCATATAGTAGTGAAGTCATCCACAAATAAGAGGTGGCGTACTCCATCTCTCAGCTACTGTCCTACGTGTTCTTATGCTTATGTACCAATCAAACAGAAAAAAAAAGTTGATTTCTAACAGTTTTTGTAATTTTCCCATCATCAAATCCCACGTCCTATCAGCCTGTTCGGCAGGACTAAAAAATAAGCCAAAATACTGTTTCAGCTGATTATTGTGAGAGAAAAATACTGTTCTTGCTGAAATCACTGTTCACATGAACAGTGATTCGTGAGGGGGCTGCCCAGCCACCGGCCAGCCAGCCGAACAGCCCCTATGAAGTGAGGACAGTACTAGTGCTAGTGCTAGTCCGTTCGTAGAGTATTGTTCACCGGACCGGACTGGGATTAAGTGAACCTGGTCCACAGGGTAGGGTGCAGCAATGCGAAAGCCGAAAAGCGAACGGCGAGGATTGCTTATCTCTGCTACAATCAAAATTACACTTGGTCCATCTAGGGATTTGCCCGATTTAACCCCCCCCCCCTTGCCCGATTTGCCCCCCCCCCTCCCCCCAAGAGATGGTTTTTGCTATATCTACCCCACTTCGTGCGATCAGAAAATCCCGTCTTTTAGAAATAAATGGCTGAGATCTATTTTTCATGATACTTCGCTACGATCGGATGGCCTGAGTTGTTTTGGTGGTGAAGCCAAGCTTCATTGCACCCCCACGCCGCTACCCCGCGCCTGTAATCAGCGCGGCGCGTGATGGCACGAGCCGCGGCTACCTCACATGCGATCAGCGCCGAGCGATAAAGGAAGGAGCTCATGAGAAAGGAAGGAATTGCTGCCATGGACCGTGGTAAAGGATAAAGGATGGTGACCGAGCTAGCGCATTCTCATTCAGTCCTGTCTCCCATATCTCACGCTGAACCCTGGCCATCCTCCTCCTCCTCCTCCTCCTGGCCCTGCCTTCGCTGCCGCATCGGCTGTGCTCGCGGACGGCGGTGGACGTGGCGAGCAGGGTGCAGGCCGGCGCGGCACTCGGCGAGACTCGCGAAACGACGGTGGCGGATGCGGCAAGCGCGGACCGGGGCGGCGACCAAGCGGCTCCCATCGGATTCTTCTGTGTGCATGCGGTACACCCGTAGGAGCGGGCGATGCGGCGACACCGAGCACGCCCATTGGGCATCGAGCAACTCTGCAACAGCCCTGCAGGTACACGTACATCTGAATCCTGATACGAAGACTCAACAACAGCCAAAGCTAATTAGCCTTCTGCTAGCTGCCCTACTCTCCTTTAGTCACGTACTCATGTTTCTCCTTGTCCTTTCATTCTCCAATTTCTTCCATAGGGATTATTCACAAAAGGAGCCAGGATTGGTGATCGGCGATCTGCAATTGGCACGAACAGCAAAAGTGCATAACACACATGGTATGCAAAACTGATTTATTACATTATAGACTTCTATGGCTTTAGATTATTAGAAGATTTTTTTTATGTGGCACTAAATTTTTTAATGTGTCACTGAATAATTCATATAATGATGTACCGATATGCCAAGCAGACGGGCGAGCATGCAGCTTGTTGTGCCGGCGGCTAACACGACCATCACACGAGTGAGCACACGCGCTTTTTGATTTCGTGCAGCTTGACATGCCCACGTCACAGCAATGGCAACGAGCACTACCAACAGCAGCAGAGGAAGAAGAAGGCTGGCAACTCTCTTGGTTTTGGTTTCATTATTGTTCTTGTAGTGTGCTTGTGATGTCGACTGTAATGATTTCAAGAATTGTTTAGGAATTGCATTTATTTCTCTTAACAGTTTATTTTCAACCCATGTCCTGACGTCCTGCAAATGTCAAATTGCAGGTTTCTTCTTGCTGACGCAACCCAGACTTTTCATCTAATTATGATAAAGACGAACTGATAAGCTGACATTCATAGCTCACTTTGTTGGGAGATAACATACAGAGGCTTCAGCTCGGCTGGCAGAATCCCTCAGCCACCATCATTTTGGATCCGATAACTTAGTAAGTGGTGAGAGATGTCCTTTTACGATTTTCTGAACCAATGCTGGTTTTACCTTCTATTTATCATCAGAGAAGATCCTTATCTTATTGACCAAAATTAAAGTGTCTATAAAGAAAGGGCAAGTAATGCTTTCTTTATGTGCATTCTTGTGATGTGGTTCGGAGGCTTCACGGTTGTCGGGCACGCTTCAATTTCCTCATAGTACAACACTGACTTTGCCATTAACTTGATGCTTGAAATGCTAAAGTTGCGTGAGCGCACTTTAATTTCTAAGTCATGTTTAAGGACTTAGACAGAATGTAACTTAGATGGTTAATACGATAAATAACTTTATTATGCCTTATGAAAAATGTTTCTCGCATGGTATACATGCTCAAATATAAATAGTATAAAAATTGAACTATAAAAAAAAAATGTTATTCAGTTGTTTTCATATATATGTAAAATAAAATCGTTACGTTAGCACGGACAAGCATCGCATCCGTGTCGCACCTTTGGCTTTTCTGGCTTTTATATAATCCTTCGTTCTCACCTTGGCATTTATCCATCACCACCTAATTTTCCATCAAATTTCAATCTCCATCCATCGATCCCTCCCGAACCCGACCCGATCGATGGCTTCCGACGCCGCCGCCGAGCCCTCCTCCGGCGTCACCCACCCCCCTCGCTACGCCATCGCTTACGCGCTCGCGCCGAAGAAGCAGCAGAGCTTCATCCAGCCATCGCTGGTGGCCCAGGCGGCGGCACGGGGCATGGACCTCGTCCCCGTGGATGCGTCGCGGCCCCTGGCGGAGCAAGGCCCCTTCCACCTCCTCATCCACAAGCTCTACGGGGACGACTGGCGCGCCCAGCTCGTGGCCTTCGCCGCGCGCCACCCGGCCGTCCCCGTCGTCGACCCGCCCCACGCCATTGACCGCCTCCACAACCGCATCTCCATGCTCCAGGTCGTCTCCGAGCTCGACCACGCCGCCGACCAGGACGGCACCTTCGGCATCCCCAGCCAGGTCGTCGTCTACGACGCCGCCGCGCTCGCCGACTCCGGGCTTCTTGCCGCGCTCCGCTTCCCGCTCATCGCCAAGCCCCTCGTCGCCGACGGCACCGCCAAGTCGCACAAGATGTCGCTCGTCTACCACCGCGAGGGCCTCGCCAAGCTCCGCCCGCCGCTCGTGCTCCAGGAGTTCGTCAACCACGGCGGCGTCATCTTCAAGGTCTACGTCGTCGGCGGCCACGTCACTTGCGTCAAGCGCCGCAGCCTGCCCGACGTGTCCCCCGAGGACGACGCATCCGCTCAGGGATCCGTCTCCTTCTCCCAGGTCTCCAACCTCCCCACTGAGCGCACGGCTGAGGAGTACTACGGCGAAAAGAGTCTCGAGGACGCCGTCATGCCGCCCGCCGCATTCATCAACCAGATCGCCGGCGGCCTCCGCCGCGCGCTGGGCCTGCAACTCTTCAACTTCGACATGATCCGGGACGTCCGCGCCGGCGACCGCTATCTCGTCATTGACATCAACTACTTCCCGGGCTACGCCAAGATGCCAGGATACGAGACTGTCCTCACCGATTTCTTCTGGGAGATGGTCCAGAAGGACGGCCTGGACAACCAACAGGAGGACAAAGGGGTCAACCATGTTACCGTGAAATAAGATGATGGCACTGGATATCTGGCGAATGCTGCTGGTTCTGGATGCAGAATTCGATAGAGGGGATTTTAGTTGGATTTCAACCGGCAGCATGCGGAGGACCTGCGCCCTGCTGTGTAAATCCTTTCTCCTAACTCTTTCCATACCAGTTATTTAGGTATCTTTCTGTTTTCCTGGGTAAGTCGCTTCATCTAGTTTAGACTGTCTGGAACAAAAGAGAGGGACATAACTCAAACCGGAACTCGAATGGAAAATGAGCTCTCTATCTGCAATCATTTTGTTCTTGAGCAATGGATGAATGGCAAATGCCATATCCCTTCATGCAACTCATTGAATTCAGGTAGCTTCTGTTATGGAATCCAATCGGCTCGTTCTTTTTTCTGTGCTTAACTAGTAATCATAAACATCTGTGTTTAGTTTGAAGCAAGAACCTAGAGAAATGCATCAGTATCATCCACTGAGCAAATGTTGCCCCCAACAGTGCTTATCTCAATCCTAGTGGTACTGCAGTGGTGATTATGTTCTCAGTATACAGTGGCTATCACAATGAATTGTTGTGTCATCGAACGGAATGGGTGATAGTTGATGCAATCATCTTATTTGCATGTGAAGTAAAAGCTCTTTGTTAAGACACTTCGGATTTATCATTGCCCACAAGGTTGAACATGTTCCACGAGAATTACTGCCACTTGTTTGAGTATTTGTTGATTGAATTGATTGTAAACCAGAGAGAATATCATATCCATTCACAACAGAGTGCACTTGTGCTTGTGCCACTTGTTTGAGTGTTTACCTTCATTGGAATCTTGACCAATCAGCATGGGCCGTTACTTGCTATCTCGCCAAAAGTTGTGTAACGACAAGTGTGTTGGTATTTGGTAGTCCATAATGCAAACTGTTTTATTTACCTTCATTGGAATCTTGGCCAATCAGCATGGGCTGTTACTTGCTATCTCGCCAAAAGTTGTGTAACGACAAGTGTGTTGGTACTAGGCAGTCCATAATGCAAACTGTTTTAAGTTAGTGTGCTCCCATTTTGTCTTGTCCGTGTTTTGTTCGACATAAGCTGATTGATATGCACGATTACATGTCATTCCTTTATATTCGGGCAAACTTCATGTTTTTATGGGGTGATTGAAGTTGGACAGCTTTCTTTGTTTCTTTTTTCAAGGGAGAATAGTTAGGAAGGATTTTTCAGTTATACTATGCCAATCACCAACAATAAGTTCCATTCAGTTCCTTAATCCATCGCAGTTGTAGAAGTAACAAAATAAATATTTTTCCTTACCAGCTTGCAAGGGTAATAATAGTAGCCATTGAGGATCCTGTGCTTCTTCCTTTCTTGGAACGTGGGTATACCACTTGAAATTCATTGAGTTTTTTTGGATTGTGGAAAGGGATTCAGGAATTGTCATCCAGTATGATATTAGCTGCTACAGCATAACATTAAAATTCATTCCTGTAATTTACAGATTATAGTTTGTAGTCGAAATGTTTGTTTTCTTGCAATGTTTGTGCACTTGATTGATTATAAAATGATGTAGGTAAATTACATATTCTGTTTTTGGAGTCTTGAATGAATAGTGGAGATGGCCTTGCTTGTATGTTACTGCAACTGTTCGAAACAAATTCAACCCATGAACATATCTAACTAGGCAGGTTAGTACCCTGATCCACTGCCTTAAAACTTGAGCCTTACATTTGTTGAATGAATGCTTATGTGTGAAGTTTCAGTTCTGCTTCAGTTTTGGCAATCTGCAAAAGGTGTTTGGGGTCAATCCTTGTTGCAAATTGGGATAGGATCCTCCCTTTAATTCAAGCCTGTATTGTATTTCCTTGGCAGTCATTGGAGTTGGACATCGGGTCTTGATTTATAGGACCGAAAGCAATGTCTCAGTGCATTTTTTTTTCTGGTGTTTTAGTTTGAGCTGAGTTTCGGAAGTGAGTGAGTCTAGGCTGACGATTTAGTCTGTAATTCTGTGGTTACAGGTGGTCTGAAACCAAATGTTTAGCTATTATGAACTTATCTCAGATTGGTTCTTATCATGTTTCAGAAGCATATGCCATGTTAGAATGTTGGGCGATTGATTGGTTCCACTGAGGATCTGTACAATGCTTTCGGCGCATAATTTTCTTTTTATCTTCTTTTTCGTTTTTTCTGGACCTTTATTTTTTCATTTTGGTTGGCTGGATCTGATTCTTTCCTCCAGAGTTCAGAGCCGTTGCATCTCCTACCAGGCTGCACCCGCAAGGTGATCACCAGATTGTTCAGTGACTGATTCTTCCCAGATTGTGAATTGAGGTCCCCACGATTTAATAGATGACATGAACACATGTGCATGTTAGGAGTGAATTGTCAAAGCATCTTGTGTAAACTGATGGCACATTATTTGGCAAGTTATGACTGCGCCTGCGCTGTGCAATGGCCAATGGATTGTTGGACAACATAAGCATGAATCTGGATCGAGGCCCACGGCACTGAGCTCCATTTTGTGCTCGGAGCCTCGGACGACCATCAATGCATGCTCAGAGTTGGGAAATACTAGGGATGAAAACGGATCATACGAACGGATATCACTCATATTATATTTGTTTTCATATTTCTGTTCGGATTCGGATTCGGATACGGATAGCGTTCGGATACATATACGAATACGGATTGACTCGGTTACGGATACGAATAATGAGTATCGAATACGGTATGAATCGGATTTGGAGAAGGTCGGATACAAATATCTATTCGGATATTGAGTAAAAGCAGCATATATATATATATATATATATATATATATATCATACGTGCGCAAACCATTACACCACTCTATGAGTCCATAATTCATCTAGATTAAGCCGAAAGACTAAAGAGTAAAGCAACAAATAAGATAAAGATACAGATACATCAAATATCATACCAGCACCAATCTTCCCGGCATGAGTAGAAATAGCTAAGCTCATGGCTTCATGGGTCTCATGGAGTCATGGTCATGGATTCAAGATCTACAATCCTTATATAGGCCATTTTTCATTTGAGAAAGTTTGAACAAAATTTAGTTTAAATTTCACAAGTGTATAACATAGTTTTAAAAAGTCTATGAGATTCAAGAATTTGTGACTAGTGTTTGATAAAACTTTCTCAAATGGGAAAATGAGCTATGTAACAATTGTAGATCTTGCTGAGATGATCAAACTTGGTATTCAGAGTTTTTCATCTGAGGTCATTTAGTGTCTCATTTGAGCAAGTTTGACCAAGTCAAATTTGGTCAAATAAAAAAACAACACTTTGACTCTAGTATTATAAACTCTAAATGACTTCAAATTGAAAAGTTTTGAATACCAAGTTTGTTCAACTCATCAAGATCTACAATTGTTGTTTTGGTCAACTTTTCATTTGAGATAGTTTGGACGGTTCAAATTTGTGATTTTTAAATTTTGATGCTTACAAACTAGTTTTCGGAACCCTAGATTGTCTCAAATTGAAAAGTTTTGAATACCAAGTTTGTTCAGCTCATCAAGATCTACAATCCTTATATAGGCTATTTTTTCATTTGAGAAAGTTTGAACAAAATGTAGTTCAAATTTCACAAGTGTGTGACATAGTTTCAGAAAGTCTATATGAGATTTAAGAAATTGTGACTAGTGTTTGATAAAACTTTCTCAAATGGGAAAATGAGCTATGTAACAATTGTATATCTTGCGGAGATGATCAAACTTGGTATTCAGAGTTTTTTCATCTGAGGTCATTTAGTGTCTCATTTGAGCAAGTTTGACCAAGTCAAATTTGGTCAAATAAAAAAACAACACTTTGACTCTAGTATTATGAACTCTAAATGACTTCAAATTGAAAAGTTTTGAATACCAAGTTTGTTCAACTCATCAAGATCTACAATTGTTGTTTTGGTCAATTTTCCATTTGAGATAGTTTAGACGGTTCAAATTTATGATTTTTAAATTTCGACGTTTACAAACTATTTTTCGGAACCCTAGATTGTCTCAAATTGAAAAGTTTTGAATACCAAGTTTGTTCATATCATCAAGGTCTACAATCCTTATATAGACCATTTTTCATTTGAGAAAGTTTGAACAAAATATAGTTCAAATTTCACAAGTGTGTGACATAGTTTCAGAAAGTCTATATGAGATTTAAGAATTTGTGACTAGTGTTTGATAAAACTTTCTCAAATGGGAAAATGAGCTATGTAACAATTGTATATCTTGCTGAGATGATCAAACTTGGTATTCAGAGTTTTTTCATCTGAGGTCATTTAGTGTCTCATTTGAGCAAGTTTGACCAAGTCAAATTTGGTCAAATGAAAAAACAACACTTTGACTCTAGTATTATAAACTCTAAATGACTTCAAATTGAAAAGTTTTGAATACCAAGTTTGTTCAACTCATCAAGATCTACAATTGTTGTTTTGGTTAACTTTCCATTTGAGATAGTTTGGATGGTTCAAATTTGCGATTTTTAAATTTTGACGCCTATAAACTAGTTTTCCATTTGAGAAAGTTTGGACGGTTTAAATTTTGAAGCACTAAATGATTTCAAACGAAAAAGTTGTAAACAACAAAGTTTCATAACTTTTTGAGATCTACAATTTTTATTTTGATTATTTCTCCATCCAAGGTCGTTTGAATAATATCCGAATAATATCCGTTTTTAAATATCCGGATATATCCGATACTTATCCGGATTATCCGATATCCGCCGGATATCGTTGATATTACATCCGTATTTGATATCCGCCTAAGATATCCGTTTTAGTATCCGTATCCGAAAAAAATTATGGATATCCGAGTAACTATCCAGATAAGTGTTCATATTTGTTCAGTCGAACGGACAGTCGAATAAATATCCGTACCGTTTTCATCCATAGGAAATACTGACACAAGGAGGGTCACCTGCACCTGGTCCACAAGGAGGACCTGTGCGTACAAGTAAGGCCACAAGGAACTCCCAGCTCTGTACGGGGACCGGACCTGTGCACCAAGGGCCTGTTCGTTTC